CTGGTTCGGGACGAGAAGCTTCCAGTTTCACCAAAGCCTGCTCCCTATCGACGTTTTGCTTAGCAACAGTTGATTGGAGGGGAATTAAAATCAGAGCAGAAGAAAGTGCCGGAGGCGTGAATTTATTTAAAGTGGCGCTCAACTTGCCAGGAAGTGACCCCCACACTTGATTTCATGACCTTCATCTGCGGCACGTATGGAATGAGACATGCAGAATTTAGTTACGAAACTGCAACAGACTGCCACTATAATTTCGAGTGGCGCCTTCTATATCATGTCCGTCATGCGTAGCCCTCTTCATCCGCTGGTTCAATCGTTGAGATTTGTCGTGATCGTCATCCGCTTTTTCCACTATTGGGGTCTTTGGGGTTGGTTGTGCTTAGTCCGCGTCCTCGTCTTCGACCTTTGCCGCCAAGGGTGGCCTCAGAGGAGTTTAGAACTCTACTTAAAAAACAAAAAACAAACTTATATTAAGGATAAATAATGATATTTTTTTTAAATGTGCAAGGCTAGAAGAACCGATGAGAATTCCCGATAACTTGCTCATCCTGGCAGATAATTTTTCTAACCAGTTCGCCCCAGAAATTAACTGAGTGGTTATGTTCCTTTCAGATGAGCTGCTTTTACAAGTGTCAGGCCTTGTCCGATGCAGCAGATGTCACCAGTTGGGCGAATATAAAAATCCATACAAGAATCATTCTTGTCTGTTGGTGAAAAAGTGTGGTATGATTTATCCTTACGAAAAAGCAATCATTAATCTGTTGCTGCCATGTACGTAATACATGCTGTAATACCAGAAAAATCAAAGACTTCGTTACTATCTGAAAAATGGGAAAAACGTCAGAATTTGTGAAGAATTTGGTTATTACAGTGAAATGATTCCATAACACTTTCATTGCTGCATTGTTGCCTAGCTGCGCTGGCCTATTTTGGGGAGAAAAAGAAAATTGCTATTTAATAGAAATAAATAACTATAAAAACGCTGGTAGCGAATTCTCATGGGTGCCGCCATTTTGCTTTCGATTTGAAACTCTCTGCAGTACAGACCAAGCGAAACAACAGTCCCAACACGCAATAAAAATACGTAACTAAACAGATTGTATTGTATGCTAATATATATCTACGGAGGGTTTGAAGTAGCACTTATCAGGAGTTAGTTTACAATACAAATACTAAAGTATGTTACAAGTGGTTATTAATCACTTAAGATCACATTGTTGCCTGGCAACACTTTTCCCAAAAAGTTGGGAAAAGTGGAAATTGTTTTTCTTATGACTTGTTGAGTTATCTAAAAATGAGAAAAATGTTTGTGTGATTGATATTTTTTCACTGCTGCATTGTTATAGAATTGTTACCTGGCTGTGCTGGCCCATTTTAGGAAAATGGGGAAAAATAGGCAATAAAGTTGTTGATGGTAATTTCTCATTCCTTGCTGAATTATCGAAAAAGTACCAAAAAATGTTTGGTGTGATTGATATTTTTTCACTGCTGCATTGCTATAGAATTGTTAACTGGCTGTGCTGGCCCATTTTGGGAAAAAGTAGGAAATGGCCTTTTACTAGAAACAAATGACTGTAAGGTGAGTTTTTATGAGTATCACCATTTGCATTTCAATTGGATGTTTTGAAGCTAAATGATACTCCCAACACAGAATATAATAAAAATAAGTCACAAAACAGGTGGCATTGTACGCTACTATAAGTTTATAATGGTTTGAAAATAGTTCCAAGTGTTAGTTTATAGCACAAATGCACAATTCTTTACTATAGTCAACAGAACGCTCATTAGGAATGATGGAATAATCGATAACAGCCCAGATTGAGGGAATCGAAGTGCCGAGTTCGAATTGTCCACACAATTGCACGTTTGTCTTCAATTGTATCTGAAAAGCGAGGATTGAAAATCAGTTTAGTCTCTTGTTATTTTTTATGAATGTTATTTTGATTCAACTTTTTACGGCTATTTTTTTATTATCTTTGTTCTTTTTCCATTTGATTTTTTATGTTTATTTTTCTTACCATATATATTTCTTACCTTATATGCCTAGTTGCCTTGTACGGCAACTAGGCATATAAGGTGAAACTCCCTACAATTCCTTTCTTTTCTTTTCAGCTGATCTAGGAGATCAATTTTGAATTCATTCCACAATGAATTTACATAGCAAACTGGGCCCCTTACCCTGTTAACTTTTTATAAAATAAAACTAAAAAGTCTGAAAGTAAAAGAAATACTTGTGTATATGCTGGTGTATAAGACGAACCCCACAACGAATTTTCAATTTAAAAATGAAGGTTTCGGGCTATATTCGACGTACAGAACGACCTTCCCAAATCATATTTTAAAATGTAATCAACTTATTAAATAAATTCAGCAAGCATCTACTTTCTTTTCACTCAACAAATTCTAATGAAAAAGATAGTGGGGAGATATTGTCAATTAACTCCCACAATCTACACTACCTCATGATTGAGTGCTGTGTTTTTAGTAGGCTATAACGGTAACCGGGATGACTTTTCCCCTGCTAACAATCCACACTTCTCGAGTGCGATCTTTAAAATGGCTTGTTGAGACACACCTCAAGTTGTTTTTTTGTTCAACATCATCGTGAAAAGGAGGCAAGCCTGGAGTTACCATACCTTCAAAAATCTCAAGCTAACAACTTACAATAAGCCACTGGATTTAACCCTAGAACACTAACCATCAATTAAAGTTACATCACTACTAACCATGGGTATGTCATACCCGATTTTACATACCGGCATTCCAAACTTTGTACTTTGAGTTAACATTAATAGGAACTGAAAAAAATTAAGTAAGAAAATCAGGTACTAAAAATTGTAATTAAAAATGGGAAAATTTGCGCTGGGTACTATGTAACCATGTTCAGTTTTCTAGGGTTATGGTTCACATTTTATACCTGGAATATAAGACGGTCCTCTTTGGTAGGAAGGTTAAAAGTCGCCTTGTACATCGACATATAAGGTATATACAATTTTAAAATGTTGGTTTTGATAACATTAATTTCAGTGTTTTTGAAATGTATATATATGTCGACAGCACATAATTAATAAGTTTTAACCCGACGCCTTGCAGTGACCATCAGAAAAAAAAACCTATACATATTTTAACCAAATAAAACACACCTATCTAGGTATTGAATATCATACCAGCTGGTGCAACACTTCAGTGAAAGTGGATTAGGTTTGGTGCAATCAATTTTGCTCGTTCGTTGCCTTTACTGTAATTTGTGATTCTTAGTGGATTTTATTTGTTGCTTGACAAAAATAACAAACTGTGGTTTTATTAATCAGGGAGAAATTTTAATCATACTGTTTATTTAGCATCGTGTGACCTTGCTGACAAAAAAGTATAAAGGTGTCAACAGAAGAAACAACGGTGTTGAAAAATTATCAACAATTTAATTAAAGGTGAAATGTAAAAACTGCACAATAGCTACGGGACTGTTTCGTCCCATTCATTTCTTTTCTACCCTTGAAGCACTGAGAGATGTCTTCTTAAGTAATGATGGTGGCACTAATGCCTTAGCAGTGAATAACTTCTACGGCATATTTTTTCTCTAATGCATGATGAAATGGGAAGCTGCCGGTTTTCCTGAAGGCAAATGCTCAGGAGATCTCTGGGTAACTATCTCAAACTATCATTTCTGCGCATACATACACAATTTATATTACACTTTGGCCTGAAAATAGCTATGATTAATTAGCTTCTCCAACAAAGAGCATCCTGTTATATAATCCAGTTAGTCATGCCATAAAGTGCTTTTAAATTTTGGTTTGGATTTCTAAGTTGCCAAAATTTTATTTGAAATTGATATCAATATGTCTGATAAGTTGATAAACACACCTGAAAGTTATCGAAAATCCTATACATTTTTTGGCAAAGTTGTTAGTCATCTCATGCCAACTCCCTTGGGGTTATGGGGTTGGGCTAGGGGGGGGTCATTTATACTGAATCTTACTTAGTTTAATTTGAGTTCAAACTATATATATATATATATATATATCTTATAGATTTAAATTAATATTTTTAAAAAGAACATACCCTAAAGTTACCAAAAATCCATTAGTCATGTCATACCAACTTTCTTGGGGTTGAGCTGGGGATGAGGGGGGGTCCAATTATACTGAATCTTACTAAATTAGTTTAATTTGACTTCAAAGTCTTCCAAAGCCCTCCTTTTATATATATATATATATATTTTAGAGACTAAACTTTATTTTTTTTCTATCAGACTAACCACTCTCCTTCACTCAGAATTATTAAGTCTCTCAATACCTCAAGTCATTAACCAACTTCCATGCTTAGTGCGGCTCAATATGCAAATACCGGTCTTCCTAGGGTTGTGCTCTGTCTGAAGAGTTGTTAAAACGGCTTAAAATATCTATTTGTGCCTCTCACATGGTGTCACCTTTTGTTTCACCTCCTCCTGGAAAATTTTATATATTTTACAGCAAAAAAACAAAAAAATTACCTCAACATCGAGAGCTATTTCTGTGTAGTTATCATTAGCTCCTAAGACTTAGGGGCTAATGATAACCACGCATAATCCTCAGCCCTGGAGCTCCTAAGTCTGGGGCTGATGATAGCCGTGCACAGAACAGCTTGAAATAGACTATCTCTATGTTGAGGTAATTTCTGTTTTTTTGCTGTAAAAAATACATATGCTCCATTAAAATAAAAACATCAAGCTCTCTGTGGATCAGTTTTAAAAATTAATATTACTAGGATCCACCTGGATTATATACCAACAGATCAATTACCTGTACTATATATATATATATATATATATATTATTCCTAAACAGTCACCCATCTAGGTACTGAGCAGGCTCGACATTGCTTACAGCACCTGGTATTCCCAAGTGGTCACACATCTAGGTACTGAACAGGCTCAATGTTGCTTAACTTTGGTGATCATACAAGAACCAGTGTTTTAATGTGATATGGCCATAAGCCCATTACACCACATGGACATCAAAGCTTACAGCACCTGGTATTACCAAGTGGTCACCCATCTAGTTACTGAGTACACTTCACTTTGCTTAACTTTGGTGATTGCATGAGAATTGGTGTTTTCAATGTGGAATGGTCATAAGCCCTCTGCCTGGAGGAGAAACTATGAATGTGAATAAGCTAATGAATAATAGGAATAAAAATATTTTGTCACAATACTTTTTTAAAAAATGTCAGGAATGCAATTAAAAAAAAACAGACACCCATTTTGAAAAATCACTGAGCATGAAAGGGTGCTGTAAATGGAGAATTAAAGGAAAAAAAGTTATTTATGAGCTTAAAAAAAAGCACTTTTGAAAGAATTTGATATAGAACATGTCTATGTAAGACAATGAATATACAAATAATATATACATATATTTATTGAAAATATTTAATACAGAAAAATGTAGTCTTATTTACAATGATTAACAAAGAAACAAATATAACAAAAAAAAAATGTGGTCAACTGAACAACCATTTTGAACAACCATTTCTGATAACTCACACAGAGTGGACACACGTATTCATGCACTCAAGACAAAAACATATAGACAAAATTCTACATTGAAAATGCAAAAGGTATGCATGTGAGAGAGAGCAAGAGAGAGGAAGAGATAAATTTCTTTTTAATTCGGAAACAGAAGTAAGGAGTTTTTCTTTTATGTGAAAAAAGATTTTAAAGAAGTAGTTTTCAAGAAAATTGGCTTTCCTTGGAAAATCACATGCATTCACAGATTTGTAATTAACAATGACAGCATATGTCTAGAAAACTGGAAGTCAAAATGGCAACAAGCAAAAGAAAAGAGGAAAAAACAGAGAAACTGTTAAGGAGTCAGTGTAAAGCGAAAGAAAAAATATGATGAAAAGGACAAATAATCACATTATGCACATATGCACAGAGGGGAACATGTATGCACACATGCAAACACACATACACTATAAAAAAAAAATATACTTGCACCAATGAAAAGTGCCTAAAAAAAGAATAATCGAGAAGTATAAGCAGTCAATTGCTGATACCCCTGACGAGTGGACGGAATGATTTCAGTCTACGAAAATATGGAGTCAGGGTGCTGAAGGTAACATTAATCAGCTAAGTGACAAATATGTGTCCTCTGACAGGAACCAAACCTGTATCCTACACAGAACTGTCATATAGCCTGATATGCTATACCATTTAGCTGCAGAGGAAGCATCTTGTTAGCAAGGTCAAATTACTGCTTTTAAAATTCAGGCCAGCAAATGTTGATAATACTGATTATTATAAACCTATATATATATATATATATATATATATATATATATATATATATATATATGCACACTGTATTTAGGCAGCAATCCTTCTTTCATGCAAGCTTAATTAAATGTGACAGACAAGGTGCTTTGATTAAGTTTTTATATAATTTCCCATATGATCTTATTTTTTCTTTTCAGTAAATAAATTATATAGTTGTATGTATGTATTTATACAAATATAATAACATTGTCTACATGTAAAAAAGGCTAAAAATAATGGAATCCTTATTAATAAAAACAAAAAAACCTAAACTCAATACCAATATGTTGATTTGAAAATATAAACATTCTATAATACTAAATACACATATACAACAATCTAATTCCTGTAAACAGTTGATATATTTCATTCTTGAAAATGGCGAAATGTATAGCCGAAAGCGCTCAGAAAAATATAATATTTGGATAGTTTTTGTATAATTTATTTACTGAAAAGAAAAAAATTATAAGATCATATGAGAAATTATATAAAAAACTTCATCAAAGCACCTTGTCTGTCATATTTAATGAAGCTTATATATATATATATATATATATATATATATATATAAAGAGAGGGAGAGAGAGAGAAAAAGACAATGTTTTGAATACACATTTTTTTATGGACTGGCAGCTATATGGGTCAGTTTTATGGTTAGTTTAACAACATCTCAACCTTGTTGAGATATATTTAATGTTGAATTTAAGTTCTATAGGACAAATATCACAATGAATTCATAGATAGGTGGAGTCAAAAAGGTAGACAGATTTGGTTTTATACTAGTGAAAAAAAAAAGGCAGGCATAAATTCATGTTTCACGGTCGAATCAGAAAGGGTCAATGCATTTATTAACTGCTTTGCTGTTGATTGCCACTGAACAAAACAATTAAGGAAGCTAGAAGAAAATGAAAAGAAAATCGAGTGAAATGAAAAGAGGCTTATGGTATGGAACTGAAAGAGAGGCAAGAAAGAAAGTAAGGTAAAAATGAAAAGAGGCTTAGGACATAGCGCCAAAAGGGAAGGTGGAGGCTAAGTATCTTTCTGATAGACAAAAAAATAAAAGGAAAATAAAGTGAAAGAAAAGAAGTAGGATATGATGACAAAGAAAAGGTGATGAGTAAGTAAGAAAGCTAGACAAAAATAAACAAAAAGGAAAACGTTAAGAGATGACAGACAAATCGACCTGCTGTTTTGAGGTTTAATACTCCTTTACTCTTTTGATTTTTGAAAGTGGGTGAAGCTATATATTTTTTTTTTTTTGAGCATGATGCATAACTTACATACAAATATAGGTAGAAACTAAAGTATTACTGCAGAGATAATTGCATATTTGACTAATTTTTATTTAATCTTAAAAATGACTGCAATTGTGTAGTGATTTGACGTAATATCCTATATATATATATATATATATATAATATTTTTTGTTTAAAAATATGATTCCTTCGCTACATAAGAGTTCTCATGTTTCAAAAACGAGAGCCGAAATCATCCAAATAATTGTTAAATTTAAGTTGAATTGTGGTGTTTAGTCCCGTTTCATCTTCAAGCGAAATTTTAGGAATATAAACAATATATATATATATATTATACAAATTAATTTAATTAGAAAACAGACAACCTTAAGGGCCCATTGGTTATATTTTATTTCACCAGGTATTTGTTTTTTTTACCTGGTTCACCAGATCATGTTTCCAAGGGTGAAAAAGTAATCTGATGAACCAAGTAAGAAAACGAAATACCTGGAGAAATAAAATATAATCAATGGACCCTTAAGGTTGTCTGTCTGTTTTCTAATTAAATTAATAGTTGCTCTGGTTTGACATTGAGCTCTCTGGATTACATCCTCCTTGGGATTATGCATACGGATTACCAAACTTTTCATTACCTATATGTATATATACACTTTTAAATGTATGCTATATTTATGAGTCAAAGTGCTCAATATCAGGGATAGAGTGTATATAAATATAAAAGTAGACATTGAAGTTGATACCAAGTAGCGACAATCTGTTTCATGCTTAAACACAATCTTCATGGGCTGAAGATTTTGTTTGAGCATGAAACAGACTGTTGCCATTGGGTGTTGACCACAATACAGTGTAACCCGGATATAAGAGAGTTGTCGGGACCGGAGACGAAGTCTCTTATATCCGGATTTCTCTTATATCCAGGTTTGGTCTATTTTATATACATTAACACAGGCTCTAATTTGGGACCAGAGAAAATCTCTCTTATATCCGGGTTTCTCTTATATCCGGGTTTGGTCTATTTTATATACATTAACACAGGCTCTAATTTGGGAGCAGAGAAAATCTCTCTTATATCCGGGTTTCTCTTATATCCGGGTTACACTGTATAGGGAAATTTTTACTTGTAAATTTTGTTTGTATTAATTTTTATTTCTTCCCTGTTTACAGTCAGGAATGATGTTTGTGTGTGTGAGGGGGAATACATTGAAAGTATTTTTTCCATTTCTCTTCATTCCTCAAATATAAAATGGATGGAGTGGGGAGGGATATTTTGACATACAGATGTCAATCGACTATACAACAATAATATATACTTTGTGTTGCTGAAAGTATTTAACAAACAAAAACAAACCATATCACATAACTTCTATTTTAATTTTATAAAACATCCTTTGTGAACTCATTTTTAAAATAATTTTTGATTTTGAACAGAAACCAAAATATCAGATAGAATCTTAAGCAATTAGTTTGACCAAAACCTCTTCACTTTGTACCAATCTTAACAACAACCAGGGATTATAATTTTAGCTATATCTCAGTTAAATATGGAGTTTAGTCACGACAATAGTACTCTTGAGTTTTCTTTTTTTTTCCAAACAGCCTCCTTTAAATATTCCGGATATATAACTTAATACTTAATTTTCTTGTTATATATTGTCTCTGGTGTTCTTTCTTGATTTTATGAAATGAAGAAATATTAAAAAAAAGTTTTATCTTGAAAAATTGAATTAAAATGCCAATATTACAAAAAATGAATTTGTATGTTTCAAGAATTCAAATATTTAAAATTTCATTATTATAATTATAAATTGTTTTAAAAGATGAAACTGAAGTAGGATCTTTTAAAACAATATAATCAATTTATAATCAATCTGACTCCTCTTCAAATATGTTTGTTTGCATCTCAAGCAATGAGCAAGAAGGTTACTGTGTTCTTTGCATACATCTCTACCACAATTGTTACGGCCAATTTTATTTTATGATCTTGTGCTTGTAATTCACAAAAATATTATGACGGAAACTAGAAACTCCTTGCATTTACTTGATAGATCTATTCACAATGTTACTTGACTCATCATGAAAGAACATGAATTAAAAAGAGAGACGATAACAATTGACTTGTGAAATATTAAAAAATTTTCTGAGGTGTTCAATTACCACCACGGTACTAAGAGAAATTGCTTCTCCACTCTGCTATTGAGGATGTTAGTTATATAAATAAATATATTTAGTATCAATACAAATTTTTATATACATGTTCTGATTTTAGGGATAAAATTACCTAATTATTGATACAGTGTAGGTCTGGTTTTTTTTGTAATTTTTTAAAGAGATTGTATATAATACTAAGTTTATAGTATCAACTGCATACCCCCTCCCAGAAAAAAAAACATTTCCATGATTCCTGTAAAAACCAAAATCCTAAAATATTGGGCAGACTTTTGTCATGTGATAACTCTCTATATATAATTTCGATGTGCAAGTTATTTCCCTTACATTAGCGACACCAGGTGACAGTTTACAAATGCCTATGAAGATGTGAGGTAAAAACAAACAATTCTGTGAGGT